AATGATATACCAGTTTACCATTGATATACCATTGTTTGCCATTGGTATACCATTGTTTACCAATGATATACCAGTTTACCATTGATATACCATTGTTTGCCATTGGTATACCATTGTTTACCAATGATATACCAGTTTACCATTGATATACCATTGTTTGCCATTGGTATACCATTGTTTGCCATTCCATTATCAGTTGGTTTCTGTCAAAGTAAACAAAGAGAGGAAAAAGGGAAACGACCACCATCCTTTATTTACAATATACTGAAGTGTAATGCAAAAATTCAAACACCGGGTCAGTTTGTGCAGAATAAGAACAGAAAGCAGGAAGTAGCGTGGATCAAACGTGTTTCTGTACGAAGGAGAAATATTTTCTCTTTAAAGACACGCTGTGACTTATGAGAAACCCAGCTTCAAGCATCCTGACACTAGAATAATGACAGAGCTACAAGCTGAAAATAAAATAATGTGTTATAAAATAGTAAATTGATCATTTTAAAGCAGAGACACGTCTCAGAAAGGTTGGTCTTTACTCTGAACCTCTGACCTGCTGATAACTACCATCATTAGAACTGACTGGAACAGATCTTTAAGAGGAGTTAATAACAGCTGGTTTTAATGGTTCATCTGTTCCACTGTGAGTAAACACATGTTGAAACATCAGTCCTCAGTGAGTGGTCTCAGTCTGCTGGATCAGATGTGTTAAAGCTTCATCAGAGTCTCTGCTCCAACATCAGGTTATTTAAAGTGGTTTCAGTTTAACTTTAACATGTTTCAAACAAACAGGACATAAAGCATAAAAACAGGACATAAAACGACTGTTCATTAATCAGAAACAGGTTCAGGTCAAACAAGTGTTTCTGAGGAGCTGATGGTGAAGAGTTTGATTGACAGGTGCTGCTCAGAGCAGACAGAGCAGCACCTGGACTGAGGGGGTCTAGGATTCGGTCTCATAAGACCTGTCCTCACCGTCGTCCTCCTTCAAAGACCTGCAGTATCTGCTGAGAGTTGTTGCACCTTCCTCGTTCTCCTCCTCCTCATCGTCAGATCTGTCTAAGCAGTAGCGCCTTCGGCCTGGAGGGCTGCAGGGGAAATAAATAAATAAATAAAGAAATAAAGAAATAAAGAAATAAATAAAGAAAGAAAGAAAGTCTGAACGTGTCACCTGAGGTTAGATAAATAAAGCTGACTCTAACAGGACTGATGAGCTAATGGCTAGTCTGCTGCTATAAAACAAGTCAGACTCATTTATAAACTTTACCCTGCCGTCAGTGTCTTGTAATGTTGTTTTTATTTATTTCATATCAGGATGCTTCTGCAGGAAGTGCTACAGCTGGCTGCTGCTGCTATTTGCATTTTAAAGACTTTAGTTGATGAATTCATCTCACCACCTTCAGCGTTATCATAGGTTGGTTGATAACTTACTGCTAACCAGAGTTGTAAAGTAACTAAGTACAAATACTTTGTTACTGTACTTAAGTAGATTTTGTCAGTATCTGTACTTTACTTGAGTAATTATTTTTCAGCCTACTTTTTACTTCTACTTCTTAAATTTTTAAAAAGACAAGAAGTAGAAAGTCGTTACTTTTATTTCATTTTTACTTGTTTTCATTCCATCTTGTTATTGTAAAAAAATAAAAACTATCCATATAAACTGTACCTCCTATAGAGTGAATTTAACTGTGGTTGAATGAGAAGTATAAATATATAAAACTCTGATAGTGTATTAGTTTGTACACAAACAAATCATGTCACACTCCAGCAGGATATAATCATTAAAATAAAAGGACTGTACTTAAGAAGTATTTGTATTTCATGAATTATATTMTTACATTTGGCCGCAGCCCTCAGATAGATTTTCATTTTGGGGAAAAGCTTTGTGCAGCCTTGATATATGTATATAAACTGAAACAGCTGGACTTCATCCTAAATTTAACATTAATTATTTTAATACAACAGTCATTTCTGCAGTTTTTGGGGAGGTCACCTCCTAATAAATGTCCTTACAGAAAATCCAACTGCTCATTTTAAATCAATACTTTTACTTTTAATACTTAAGTACAAAAATATTAGATACTTTAAGACTTTTACTCAAGTAATATTCCTAAAGGAGACTTTAACTTTTACCAAAGTAATTTTATGATAAGATGCTTGTACTTTTACTCAAGTATCACTTTGTGGTACTTTATACAACACTGTCGCTAACTAGCCATTAGCTCCTCTGTACCATCATGAATAACCTGCTCACAGAGCTATCTACAACAGGTAAGATGTTAGTTGTTTCTGTTTTCTACAGAATCTCACTTCAAAATGACCTAAATGTCCCTTTAATAAATGTTAGATCAGCTGCTAACATCAATAAATGTTAATGAAAACTTTATGAAACAAAGAGTTTCAGGTGGAATCCACAGTTTGTTTCAGACGATAAAGATAAACTCTGTTCCTGACCACTACAGAACCTTCAGACGGTTCGTTCCTGTTGGTGTGTGRACTCAGGGGGTCTGTGGTTCCTCAGCAGGACTGCTGAGGCTAAAGCTGAGGTTAGCTCACACCATGCTCCACTCTGCAAACCCAACACCTACTGTGTGCTTCAGTCACTGTCGGCTCGGTACAAGTACTTCATCATCAGACTGTCCACCTTCTTCTTCCTCTTCTTCTCCTCCTTCCTGTTTCCAGGCGGAGCCTCGGCAGGCCCCTCCTCCAGGTCTGGGTCTGACGTGGTTTTGGTCGGAGCCTTCTTCACACTGCTGGAACTTCGGTATGAGATGGTTGAAGCGTCGGAGCTGGACCCAGACTCTGAGGAGGAGCAGGAGGAGGAGGAGGAGGAGGAGCGACTCTTCTTCTTGGACTTCTTGCTCCTCCTTTTGGAGCTGCTCCTGTGACGGTGGGACTCAGAGCTGGTACTTCTCTTCTTCTTGCTTTTCTTCTTGCTGCAGCTGCTGGCGCTGCGCAGTGATGATGATGATGATGATGATGTCCTGCAGTCCACAGCAGAGACAGAGTGCCTGAGACTGCTGGTGGGACGAGGACCGTCTCTGTTGCCCAGACTTGTCTCCTGGTCTTTACTGTTCTCATCAGCAGAGTCCTCTAAGCTCCTGCGTTTGAACTTGATGGGTTTAAAGCTCAGCACCTCGTTGATGGCCTTCTCCAGGTCCGGGTCCAGGTAGCTGCGGTGGCTGACCGGCTTGATGTCCGAGTCGTCCACCGAGTGCAGCTCGGCAGCCGGCCGGGCTTGTGGCGGAGGCATGGACACGCTGCGACCTGAGTGAGGACTGTATGCGGACCGCTCGCTGAAGGCCACGCTCCAGCTGTCGTCCACGTCCAGGAGGCTCAGACGGCTGCGGGAGCCGGCCCGGCTCACGCTTCCTGGACTGCGGCTCTGCGAGCGCCGGCTGAAGCAGGGGCTGCTGGGACCGCTGCCGTACGCTGACCGCGAGGCGCTTCGATGGAGGGCCTGAGAGCCGGAYAGGCCCGAGCTGCTGCCGGGCTGACAGTCTGACAGGAAGCTGAGGTTGGTTGAAGGCCGAGCGAAGGAAACACAAGAGTCTGTGTCTGCCTGAGTCCAGCGGCTCTCCAGACCCCTCCTGGCTCTGCTGTTTGCCTCTGAGTACGCCTGGGAGACCACAGACTCTCTGCCACCGATGTCCTCCTGCAGCGCCGAGCTCTTCCTGCAGCTCACAGACTGAGCGTCATCGTGAAGGTCAGAGGCTCTGGACCTGGACTTCTGGAAGGACGGAGGGTCCTCAGAGTCCTTAGCAGAGTCCAGGCTGGACAGTTTCCTGTAACTTAAGGAGCTCATCACTGACAGCGGCCTGTGGCTCTCTAACTCCTTGTCCTCTTTGGTTACCTCCTTAAACTCTTTCCACTCTTTCCCTTCCTTCATGTCTACATTTACAGCAAATCTACAAACACAAACAGTGGGAAAGATGAAGGAGAAAATGAAATGACAGATGATGAAACAAATGAACGATCAGAAGGAGAAATCTGTTTTAAACATGTTTTTTCCCCCGCATTTTTAAACTGAAAGTGACGAGTTTTATTATCTGCATGTATTAAATATTTTTAAAGGGATCCAGGATTAGTTGTAACATCAGACTTTATTTGATAAACATTTATTT